ATGGCTGTATAAGAAGAATAGCAACAGTAATAACGAAAATTATAATGATGCTTATTGCATAAACAACATTCGTATCAATAGCAAACAAGCGTTCTTCCACAAGATAGAAGGAACTAATGTCGCAATCCTCAGCAAAGTAGAATTGTAGCGTTTACTTAGCTCTTTGGGCTATATATATTTTTACGTATACTCTACGGATCTTTTCGCCATATTTCAATGTGCTTTATCTTCAATATCCGTCACCTCTGATTAATGTAGGCAAGGCCTGAAGTGGTAGCGTGTGGCCCTCTTCCTCATTTAATCTAGGCTTAGAGATGTCCATCTTAGGTGTTGCTTTCCGTATCGTGATATGGCTCAGGTTTACGTAAAACATAAACGTAAAAGTGACAAAAGTAACGTAAAAATGAAATTAAAAGTTAAAGTAAAACAAAGCAATAAAACCCCATTGAACCCAACGAAAGATTAACGTAAAACTAAATTAAACTACTTTAAAAACCAAGGCCATTCACGATAAAATAAAATAATAAAATGAAATAAAAGATTCTAGTAAAAATAAGAATTTGAAACCGATAAAATACAAAATAAAAAGGGTTCTAGAAAAAAACTCAAAGTTACGGGTTCCGTATTTTACTGTAGGACTGACAGCGTACATGAACATAACCAATATAAAACTATTACCTTAAGATATATAGCGTCTCTGATGTTTCCGATGTCGTGTTCCACCGCCTCACAATACAAAAAGATAATGATATAAAATAATAACACTATGAATAGCTTAAAATCGAAAAAAATAATAAAAAGTCTCTCTCTCTGACTTCGCTGAAGTCTCGGGCCTGAGTGGCGGTTTCTTCGCTATTGTTTACGCCTGCGCGTTTTCACCTGCGCAGTGACATCGACGCTCAGTGGAAATAAAGTTTACAGCGCCTTTTTCCGTTGCGCAAAAGAGTGTGCAGTCTTCTATTTTCAATAGTGAATGTTTAATATTTAGTTTTTCACAGTAATTGTAGCGCTATACAGATTTTCTTGGACATCGTCCTGCGCAGCCGCGCAGAGGGCACCCTCATCGGCTACGGCCAGCGGATACGAGGGGAAACTGACACAGTTCACTCGCTACAGAATGATCAATGAAATGCATTTGCAGTCAGATGAGATGTTACCATTTTTCTTGCATTTTTCGATTGCCTGTGTAGGCAATTCTTACGAGTATCCAGGCCTATGACTATACCAGCAAAAGAATTCTCCCATACACAAACGAAGACTAACAAATATCGCCGTCCCTCCATGTTCTCTTTCCCTTTCTCCCTTTCATCCTGTAGATACCACTTCCTTTCACTCTATCTGTCCTTCTCTCTCTCAGAATATCTATCTATCTATCTAGCTTTCTACCTACCTACCAACGTATCTATCTCTATGTATGTATATATATATATATATGTGTGTGTGTGTGTGTGTGTGTGTGAGTGTGTATGTGTGTGTGTGTGTGTGTCTGTGCCTCCGTCTATGTTTGCGTGGCGTCCCGTATTACCAGGAGACAGGAGTCCTGAAGGTTGAGCGATGCTGCACGCTGCGCCCTGCAGCTAGCAACACCTCTTTGGTCCTCTATTCTGGTTAGACGGGTGGCTTGACCAAAGCCTGGCAGGTTAAATATATATATATATATATATATATATATATATATATATATATATATATATATATATATATATATATATATATATATATATATATATATATATATACTGCCGCGCTAGCTCAGTGGTTAGAGCACTGGACTATGACCCTCGTGGTCCCGGGTTCAATTCCCCGTCGCGGCAGTTGTAAAAAATGCCTACGCTCTGACTGCTAGCTCGAGCCCGAGAAAACGACATATCGGCTTGAGAAGTCAAACGCAGGTGTCGTAGGGGAAGTCGCCGCCGTGGCACAAGAACCGCGGTTGATTAGGAAGGGCATTCAATCAGGTGACACCGCCATATAACCTCTCAATAGTGAATTAAGAGAGGCCTATGCCCTGCAGTGGAATGAATGGCTGTTAAAGAAAAAACAAAACACACACACAAAAAAAAAAAATATATATATATATAAATAAATAAATAAATAAATAAATAAATAAATAATATATATATATATACATACATATATATATATATATATATATATATATATATATATATATATATATATATATATATATATATATAATTTTTTTTTAACAGCCATTTATTCCACTGCAGGACATAGGCCACGGCGGTGACTTCCCCTACGACACCTGCGTATATATATATATGTGTGTGTGTGTGTGTGTGTGTGTGTGTGTGTGTGTGTGTGTGTGTGTGTGTGTGAGTATATATATATACATTCAATAACCCAGCCACTGGGGGAGCAAGCCAACTCAACTCAGTTGCCGGTCCCAAGCCCGGATGAATGGGGAGAGTTAGCGGCAGGAAGGGCATCCGGCTGTAGAACTCTGCCAAAACCCCAAAATGGAAAGCCGACAAGAAAGCGCCTCGGAACCTGCTAGGGTGTACCCCAGAAGCGACGCGCAGGAGCCCCGCCTGACTCCTGTGATAAGTGAGCAAAGGAATTGATCTAAATAGAGGTGAATATGAAAATCGAGGCGTTTGGAAACGGTTGACCAGGAACAGCGACCCCGTATAGAAACGGGAGAAAGCTGAGGAAGAAGAAGATATATATACATTCAATCAGGCAAGGGTGACACCGCCATATAACCTCTCAATAGTGAATTAAGAGAGGCAAACAACTTCTCTAGTGTTACATCGAACCAATCCTGATGTATGGCTGTAAAGCTTGGACCATCGACAGCCAAGTTGCTAAAAAGATCGAAGCAACTGAAATGTGGTTCTGGAGGAGGATGTTACGAATACCATGGACTGCAAAGAAAACTAATGTACAAGTTCTGGCTGAGACAGGAGAAACACGGAAATTGCTGAACAAGATCAGATCCAGGCAAGCCAGATTCGTAGGCCACGTTGCACGAAAGGAGACCCTAGAACATCTTGTGGTCACGGGAAAGATCCATGGTAAAAGGGATCGTGGCCGGCAGCGTGGGAAGCTACTAGACCATCCGACGTCATGGCTAGGAACAGCGAAGAACACCGAGTTGCTACACTCTATGAAAGATCGTGAAGGTTGGAGAGCCATGATCGCCCACGCCTGCCGGCATGGCACCTGATGATGATGATGATGTCCTGCAGTGGAATGAATGGCTGTTAAAAAAAAAATATACACACACACACACACACACACACACACACACACACACACACACACACACACACACACACACACACATATATATATATATATATATATATATATATATATATATATATAAACATACTGCCGCGATAGCTCAGTGGTTAGAGCACTGGACTCCGACCCTCGTGGTCCCGGGTTCAATTCCCCGTCGCGGTAGTTGTAAAAAATGCCTACGCTCTGACTGCTGACTCGAGCCCGAGAAAACGACATATTGGCTTGAGAAGTCAAACGCAGGTGTCGTAGGGGAAGTCACCGCCGTGGCACAAGTGTTAACGCGCCGAACCGCGGTTGATTAGGAAGGGCATTCAATCAGGCAAGGGTGACACCGCCATATGACCTCTCAATACTGAATTGAGAGAGGCCTATGTCCTGCAGTGGAATGAATGGCTGTTGAAAAAAAAAAAAAAAAAATATATATATATATAAACATATATATATATATATATATATATATATATATATATATATATATATATATATATATATACATATATATATTCATTCCACTGCAGGGCATAGGCCACGGCGGTGACTTCCCCTACGACACCTGCGTATATATGTATATATATATATATATATATATATATATATATATATATATATATATGTGTGTGTGTGTGTGTGTGTGTGTGTGTGTGTGTGTGTGTGTGTGTGTGTGTGTGTGTGCGTGCGCGCGTGTATATGTGTGTGCGTACGTGTGTGTGATTTGAACACACACAAAGCACTCACTCACACACACACACACACACACACACACACACATATATGTATGTGTGTGTGTATTTGTGCTTGTGTGTGTTTGTTTGTGTGTGTGTATGTATGTGTATGTGCGTGTGAATGTGTGTGTGTCTATGTGTGTGTGTGTGTGTGTGTGTGTGTGTGTGTGTGTGTGTGTGTGTGTGTGTGTGAGTGTGTGTATGTGC